TGTAATTTCCTACACATGTACAAATTTAAATGCTTTTTAGTTTAATCTGAAAATAAAAGTTAAAACTCACTCAATTATCAATGATTGATCCAAATATTTAATAACTTATAAAGAGAAATTCATCACAAGATTACAATGATCAGTAAAACGTAAACAATATTTAATAAAAATATTAAACACCAATGATTATGACAATTTCAAATAATTAAAAATGTTCGACAAACAGCAATCTAAATACTATTAACTATTTATTACGCTCTTCTTTAATGCACCACAAACAGTTTTGCTACAAGTTGTCAAGACTTTTTCANACAACCTCAAGTAACACGTTAAGATAAATAATTTTTTTTATCAACCAAATTAAATTTAATTCTGTTATGTGATAACATCAATACACTAAACCCTAAACCATTATTCACGATCCAGGCAATATATTATAATATCATCATAACGTTTTTTACTTGAATAATTAACAAAATATTTATTACGTTTACTACCGCTTCATATCCTCTTATCCAAAAAGTTATTAATGTTTTTTCAATCAATATGTTTACTTATTACTAGACATTTATTGGTTTTCCCAAAGCACCTTTTGTATTCTCAAAAGACAAATAAATACTTCTAAATTTTAAATAAATAATTTACATAACATTAAAGTGATACGAACTTAAATCACTCATGCAAGTTGAGAAGACTATCTGAATATTATGTGGTCTAATCGTACAATTGATGTTATTTTTCCAATTTATTCTTCTCATCCTTTCTATTAAACTCATGCAAGTTAGATTTTATTCTTCTTAAACAACCCTATTTATTTATTGTAATATCTTCATTCTTGTTCCATCTGTTTCTTTTGTATTCCTAATTAAATAGAACACCTTCTCATTATACTTTTTGATTGATGTGATTGATATTTTGATGATATCTCATGTTGTACTGTGTGCGTACTAATCAAATATCTAAAATATTTAATATACCTATATAGAAATTAACATGAATGCGAACTGTTTACATTTAAATATAAGTAAGACTTGACATTAAATGATTAATACAACTATCATTAATTTACAAAACTATTAAAAACCAAATTCAGATAAGAACGCTGACTCCTATTAATAATAAACAGAACATTATCTAAGCAGTTGAAATACCAAAGAAAGAAAAAAAAAAAAACTGTTCGCTACCCACACGCGAACTATATAAACCACATATACCATATCAACAACATAATTTCCATATACTTGCACCCAAAAAACAGCATCAAGACATCATGATTCTTTTCAAATTAACAAAAAAACAACCCACAGGCCTGTTACAATTACCATAAGAAATTCTACAACGAATCATTGTAAAAGCAACCGACAAAGATCACACCGCTTTACAAGCAATACGATTAACGTAAGTTTTACTAAAACCATTGTATTTCATTAATCTATTGATTTCATTATTTTCTTACTCACACAGAAAATGATATTATACAAAATGGTTAAATAAACAACTAATAACAATACGATAGTAGTTTGTTCCACAACAGTCTTATAACAATAACGGTTAACCATAGAAACGACTCTGCCGAACCATGTGCATCTTTAGTTGTTAATAGTTTTCTAATAAATGAAAAACAAAATGCATTTTGGGATCCTTATTTAAGTGAGTCATATTTGGTACACTTATTTATTTTTAATTGCTTAATCATAAAATAATGGTATTATTATTCCCAATTGTGGATTTTTTTTTTTAACTATTATGAATCTTGTGCTTCAAAACCATTACTTACCGTACAATTTACAGGTGCAAATCTCTGAACAAACAAGCAAACATCAAACAAATAATACAAAGAATGGACATTTCGAAACAACGACACAAACTACCAATAATAACAACAGGGGACTTTCAATTCTAAAGACACTTGCAGAAGCAGAAAATAAACAAGCTTTGCTACTGTCGGGAACACATTTGTTCTTTAGCGAAAATGATACATATATGAGATTAAAACTACTGATTGCAGTTTGCCAAAAATATAACTTGCAAGCAATATATCACACTGCTGTTGCTCTGCTTACTGTACATGACAATAGAGTTATACAAATTCTAATGAGATTAGTAAAACTACCTAATCATTTCTACAAACTGGAATATTGCAGGAAAGAATTCAAGTCCCTGACTCCAACTACAACAATGCTCATTAAAAGACGAATATTTGGGATTGGCAACAAGAAGAATCAAAATCGTATGCATTGGGACAGATCAACGTCACCAGAAAATATCACATGTCATAGATGTAACGTGGATTACCAAATAATCTATATGAAATTTAATTTTTAGTAACTTTTGTATGTAATTTCTTGCACATGTACAAATTTAAATGCTTTTTAGTTTAATCTGAAAATAAAAGTTAAAACTCACTAAATTATCAATGATTGATCCAAATATTTAATAACTTATAAAGAGAAATTCATCACAAGATTACAATGATCAGTAAACGTAAACAATATTTAATAAAAATACTAAACACCAATGATTATGACAATTTCAAATAATTAAAAATGTTCGACAAACAGCAATCTAAATACTATTAACTATTTATTACGCTCTTCTTTAATGCACCACAAATAGTTTTGCTACAAGTTGTCAAGACTTTTTCAATCAACGTGTCTATCTGTTGTTAGATGTCTGTTAATTTTCCTAAAGCAACTTTCATACTGAGTGATACAGTACCCCAAAAATTGTTCAAACATTATGTTAAAAAATTGAACATATACAACAAACATCAATCTAAATATATTATAATCCTAATTTAAAAAAAAAAAAAAAAAAAAAAAACTAGAAATAACCATTTCTATTACACATTTAAAAAAACTTTGTACCATATTGATCAAACAAGATCAAAGTCGAATATATGCATGTTTCATAACCATATTATTGAACCACAATTAAAAATTAATAAATATATGTCACACATCATATCATCTTGACTTTGATACTTGACGGAATATTTATTGTCCATTATTTGAAAATGTATCAATAAAATTTTATATTAGTAAATTACATTGTTTCTTTATCATAATAACTCAACATCTGCCGAACATTATTAACTAATAACTAATATGTTGCATATTAACAAAAAATTATTGCAATTTTTTTAACATTACAGATAGTCTACTAACGTTTGTTACCTATCCAAATTATTTAAAACCTTTTGACCGACATGTTATTTATTACCAAATGTTTGTTCATATTCCATATTTCGTACTGTTTTCCTATAATATTATTGAACTTGACAAATATTTATTGTCCATCCTTTGAAAATTATCAATAAGATTTTATTATTAGTAAATCACATTGTTTCTTATCATAATAACTCAACATCTTGTTGAACCATTGTTAACTACTAACTAATATGCTGCAACTTACAAAAATATTTATTATGATTTTCTTTAATATGTACATAGTCTACTAACGTTTCGTATTACCTTTTCCAAACATTATTAACCCTTTTTTATCGACACGTTTATTTATACAGATGTTATTCATATTCCACTTTGTATCTATTCTCCTATAAATATTGCTCTGACATCAATCACCATTTAACTTTCTTCAGATACTATACATATAATTGTTCATTTCTTCTCAAAACTTAATTCGAAAATGGTGACAAAAATCACAACCAAAGAATCTACAACGAATACCAACAACGACCTCAACAACAATAATTCTCCACTGAGGCAACCAGAAGGTATAAACGTCCCACATCTTTTGTATCCTAAATTACAAATCCAAACAAAACCATGATACATATTTGCGGGAATATAAAAACCACTAAATTTTTTTTTTTTTTTTTTTTTGATTTAGGTCAAGAGTTCATCTAATATTTATATTTACACATTCATGTTACCGTTTCCATATATTTATAAAAATTGATTCTATATTGTTTCTGCAATTGGTTTAGACATTTTTCAGGGAATGCCGGAATTGAGGGAGATTTTCAAATAAGTTGAGAGCAATTTGGGTGATCTACATACTGCAAGAGACAAATTCGCAGAAGTCATTGACCAGCTATTACAAATCATGGAATCTGCCATGGATATTATTTATAACCTAAACAAAAGAGAATATGCATATGCACTAGAGGAACTGAACAACTGTAAGAAAAATAGAAAATAAAGTATATATCGACCAAGCCCACTTCACAGTATAAAAAAGCGATATACTTATTTCTTTTATAGTAAAAGTATTATTCTCTATATTCAATTTTATCTTGATTTTGGTGCTGCTTATTAATTGATTGAAAATTGTTCTCCATCATAACACCTTACTTTTGATTTAATTCTTCCATTTTCACACATTGGATGAGTACTAACAATAATTATATAAGTACATTACATAGACATTCCAAAAATCTAATCATTTTCAAGAAAAACATATAAAGATGGAAATTAGTTTGTTTTCAAACCTTAGCTTGGAAAGAATCCTATACTGTGAGAAAAACTGTCAATATCAAACCTGAAAATGAACTAAATATAAATTTTAAGTTCAAATAATTGATCTTCATAATATTAATTGATATTAATAATTATAAAGGTACAATTATTAATTTTATGTTAACACAACTCTGTATATATATAAAAGTTATATTTACTCTAAAACTTGTATAATCTAACAATTATCATTTCTTAATCTAATTACTTTATTCAATTAGAATTACCTATTTTAAAAATATTAAATAAACATACCCGCGCAGTGCACAGACACATAACTAGTTATATATATAAAATAGAAACCTAGAGATGTAAAAGATGATGTAGAAATAACTTTGAAATACGCATAAATTCATCAAAGGGCTTAAAGAACATGTAGCCACTAGCCCCATGAAACATTCAATTGAGATTAAACAAGTTGACCTCTGAAAATTTAAAAGTAGTTTGCAAAGAAGGTTTTGAATAATAGAAAGCGGAACAAACTAAAGATGCTTTAAATAGTCTTCTTCGACGTGCGTACATTCAACAATAGAACATAACATTCTTGACGTTGGGGCAGATAGGAGGAAGAGGCCGAACAGGAGCAGCTTCCTTCCGGACACCAGATCCTTTGCCGGATCCATTGTCAGATCCCCCACCGCCTTCTCCCTCAATGTAGTATCTTGCTCTGAATGCAGCCAAGTGCGCATAGTACGCGGGAGGAGCTGCACATATGAAGCAGAATTTAATAATGACGAAAAGCAACAAAAAATTTAAAAGGGAGATCAAATTCAGGAAAGTTTGGAAGATAATTAAGGAACTTACCAACTGAGACAGACCTTGTGCACCTTGCATAGCTGTATACAATAAATAAACAACAAACGTAATTTACTAAAATTGCACTTATATAATGGACAAAACTGTAGATTCCGGAGATAGAAGTTACGTATAACAAAGGCTGTTGGTGAGCATCTGCAAGGTGTCAGCATTAAATCTGTTTTCATCATAGAGAACGTGGTAATGGACAGGCCGACTTGTTCCCTGCACGAAAGTAAATCATAAGTGCACCCTTTTCCAGTAATTAAAGATGGATTAGGATAAAGATTATAAAGTAAATATTTATATATATCTATGTAACTACCTGAATTCCAGCATGGCTGCAGAGGTAGAAATCATGCTCGGATGGGTGACATATCATCCTATCGACCACAGTTCCTGATCATGGCAAGAGGCCATCAAGCAAGCTATAGAAATAGAACTAGAAAGTACATTTGCAGTGAGAAAAGGCGATAATAAAAACCAGGTAGGACGTTGCCACTCTTGTCTGTTTGGGCAGAATTTGTTGGGAAGAAGCGAGTATGATGTCTCTTCTGCACTATGATGAAGGTAATTGGCGGTAGGTACGATTCTTCTATAGATTGGCATGCCTGAAGAGAATGTAAACATTTCAGCATAAAAAAGCCAAAAGAAAATGTTAAAATACTGTAACCTTGTCCATACGTAGAATTGATGTAGCAGAAACTGTGATTACTTTTGAGATGTAACAAATTTGTGGAATTTTCGAGGAACAAGTCCAGTGACCTGCTGTTTCTATCCTCTACATTACTTGATTCAGCTTATTATTCAACAGATAAGAATGAAATAGAGGCAACATAGAAAGTTTCTTGCATATTTGATCAAACTACAACAGTTTACCTTTCGAATAGCATCAATCTCACAGAGCAGCACTTGACTGAATTGACCCTCACTGACACCATCTCTATTATGGTAGAAAAAGGGGCAAGTAATTAATCATTGCATAACAAATATCAGAACTTTGTATCTTGCAGTATATAAATCGATTATGATTAACAAACCTGTAGAAGATAATCCTTCCTGGCTTGTGATTTGTGGATCTCTTGAATGCAAACAGCAGTTCCCTAGAAGTAAAAGAGCAAATAATTAGGAAGAAGTTGTTGATAAAAAATTAATTGATAAAGCATATTAAATGTTACCTAATCATCCCAGAATGAACTGATCCTTTTTTAGGATCCTGTTCAATTTTATAGAGATCTTGAATGATTTCCTCTCTATGGTTCTGGGCAGAAACAAGGCCTCTATAGGTGGTGACTGCTGGCCAGTCCATTGATGCCACAACCTAAAATTGATGAAACTACTTAATTTAACATTCTTCATTGATTTGGTTAATTTACCTTGTACAAGAGATTGAAAAAGAAAGTAGTGCTGCATACCGCTGCTATTGAAGGGCTAGAATCCTCTCCTGGTTGTGGATGGGTTACATCAGCACCAAAGATTATCGTGGGAATGTCGGACAGAAGAGGAATTCGCCTTTGGATGGCATCCTCTAACACGGTATTTCGCCCCCCAGACTATTTACCCCATTGATCAATGATTATAAAGTTGAAATGTCCAAACTCCAAAGAGATTAAGAACTTAAACCTAGAGTGAAATATGACAAACCTTCACATTAATCTTCAAGGCCACATTTTCAAGGTACTGTGGGTTACACTTCCTAGCTTGCTTGGGTTGACAGCACTGAGAAACTATATCAAGCTCTGTTTCACAAACTCTTTTAATTCTACCTGTAAAGCACAGAAGTAAATGCATCCACTTAGTAGATAAAACAAGTAAACTTTATGTTTACAAAGTCATGAGTTTAGGTTGTTAGACATAATTACCATAAGTTCCAGTGAAATCAGGGAGGATGATAATCAACAGCTCAAGAGGTTTCTGTTCATCACAGCAAGCTCTGTGAACAGCAGATAGTGCATTCTCTATCTGATAGGGAGAACTGGACCAGATCGGAAGTATAGGACAAGGATTCACATCCTAGGAAAATATCCATTGATTAAATTGTGATAAGCATCCAGACCACCAAAATATAAAAATATGCAAAGCATAGCTTTACCATCCCCTTGCTGCGGCACATGCCAATTAAATCCCGACAGAAGCTTGAAGCTACTTGTGTATTCAAACTCGAGAAATTCAAACATGTCCAGAACTTCACTGCAGCACCGTTGTACATTTTCTACACAGAAATCACAAGCATATAAGAGGGGTGCACTCCTAAATTCAGTTATCAAAGTAGTTTGATAATGTCTTGAAATAAGCCAAAACAAAGAAGTAATGTTCACCGCATTGATCATGTTCCACCGCCCAATATGTGGCCTGATTGTCCTATCTTTTCCAGAATCATTGTACTTGAGCTGAAATGTAAAATCACCTTGTGGAAAGTTAAAAGCACTTGCACAGCAGAGAAAAAAATTAAATATTAAGCAGAGTAACAGAGGTAATTACCACAGGTGGTGGAAGCACTCGGGCATATATGGTTACCAATTCTTTTTTCACATCAACTCCAAATTCTTTCTTCAAATCAACTTCGAATTCTTTAGCTAACTTATCACTTTCAGCGTCATTAAAACTAGCAATCTGCATCAAAATATTGCAAAACAGTAATGAAAAAGCAGCAACTTTGAAACTGAAATTCAGAGCATTCGTAAGAAAAGTAGACTAAAACTGTTCTCAAAGTAACAACCTTCCGAATTCTCTCCTCCGTCTCTCTAGGGCGCTTACAGGCCTCTCTTAACAGGGCTGTGATCTGTCTCTCATTTAACTTTTTTGAGTATCTCTGCCCTTCAACAATCTTACACAGCTACATGTAAATGAAATGTTGACTAAGTTACAAAGAATATGAACAGAAATTTAAGTTAAAATGATTAAGAAATGTGTTATTATTAACCTCCATAGGCAGAAAAATCGGCTTTGAATCATTTCCAGACTGAAGTGATGGCCAGGAAGCATAGCGAAGTGAGATATTGTATTTCTCTTGGAAATAATGCACAACGAACTCCTGTTTCTTATCCCCAGAAGCAAATCTAGAAAGATAAGAGAGATACACCAAATGAGTTATAAGACATCACTTTAAACATAACAAAAAATAAGATGGGAACAATTTTGAAAGTCTCTTAAACAGTGAAGCTTACGTCAACTTGTTCGTTGGTACAGATGTGATGCCTGTAATTTTGTAACGCTTTGCTTCTCCATGAAGAACATCTACTTTAACTCCTCTCAAAACTTTTTTCAACTGAAAGGAGTCAAATTAGAGATTTTGCTAAAGAACATTACTCTCATGGCTGAGGAATAATACAAACTTTTAAAAAGGACAAAGGAAAAACTTGAAACAGTACCTTGATACGATCACTGTCCGAGAAAGTCCTTGAGGCTGCTCTAATTGGATCTCCAAGATTGAGATATTTAACCACAAAGTTGATGACAGGAATAGATTCATAAAAAGATGTGGCTGACACATCTACAGGAAGAAACTCAAAAGTTTTGAGAGATCCAATTTTAACAATAAACTTCAATAGAGGACAAGGAAATTCCCGATTATGTTCTAGTTAGAATAATTCAACTATAATCAAGCCCGTAATAAAGGATTTTTAAAAAAAGTACCCATGTTCAAGGACATTCCCATCTGGGTAGGGCGAAGGCTCTGATAAAATCCCTTCCAGCATTCAACACCAAAACCAATCTCACTTTTCTGGCCCAACTTAGAAGAGAAAAATGACCTCCCAACAACAGTACAACTGTTTCAGGAAAAAACATAAAAGAATTAGATTGAGACAGAAATTAGAATTTCATCAAGCAAACAACAGAACAGAGAAAATTACGTTTTGGAAGGAGTTTCCCTAAGAACCACATCAAGGACTTGTATAGTTTCATGCGGTGCCTCTTCCAGCTTACATTGTAGAAACTGCCGCAAGTGATTAATAACAGTTTTAGAAGCCAGCTTCACGCTGACTTTGAATTCCCTATCCTTCCTCCTGTGCAAAGGGGAAAAATATCAGTTCCAAGCCACAGGAAACAATAACAGTGTAGTAGCAGGACAACATAAAACAGAAAAAATAATCCAATTCTTAATAAGTTTAAATATATCAAATCAGATGGAAAGACACTTGATGACTTGAATATATGTTTTTACATTTTAGATCACAGTCTAACATAATCCTACGTAAAATGTATGCCACTTAAACAAGAAAAAGTACCTTGTAGCTCCTGTTCCATCTTTGTCAATCAATTTGACCACGAAATCTTTTGAGGTAAAAGGTAAAGCTCCAGCAGTGTAAAACCCCTTCCTGCCATCATATGCAGGCTTGCGATCATTAAAGTGTGTCTTCCCATTTACATTCAGCAGTTCTTTCATCACAGCCCTGTTAACTCCTCTTGACGTGACCTCAGGTGTTATTGAAACCTGCACGTTAAAAGTTCCAGAACTGATAATCATACACTTATATTGCTTTTGAACTAATAGATAAATAATATTTTAATCAGAACAAATGAAGAACTAACGAAAGGTAAGAATACAGCCATAACTACAAAAAATGGCAGCAAATGAAGCCGAGTAAAAAAAGGTAAATAGTCATCGTATCAATTGAAAGAATAAGGAAACAACTGAAGATCTACAGAACAGAACAGTAAATGACAGGTGCCAATATAACCTCATTCTAACCAAATAGAATCAAGTATGCGTGAAAATAAGGTAAATTAAAATCTTCAGTTACTGATAATGGTATAAAAATAATAAAATCAAATAGAAAAGCATAATATAATCTTGAAAGAAAGAAAAAAGAGATCTAACTAGTATTAACACCACACGAAAATAGGCCTATACCTAGGAAAAATTACCCGACGCCAAAAAAAAAATCGTCAGAATGTTCCACCTATTAAGTAAAAAAATGAAAGACATATTAATGTTTGAAGTTCAAAACAAATAATGATGAAAAGTTTTCCCTCGTTTTCCATGTTTTTTCTACCATTTTCTAGTAATTTTTGGAACTTAATGGAGCCATTACATCAAACCGAGAGAACAATAGGGAGCAAATTACTATTACGGAACACAAAGAGCCACTGAAATATACAATCGAAGTGTTATAAATATTAACGCATCCAAGATTATTTGGATCACAATGACAAGTGACATAATAAAAGATAGATAAACAGCAAAGAAATTAAATTAGAAAAGTATAACGCTACCTGGAACAAAAATATGACGGCGAATTTGTTAAATCAGCACTAAAAAGAAGAAAACCAACGCTAACTAAACACAAAAAAGCTACAGAAATATACTGACATCGTAGTGGTAGAGATCTCTGTCTTCGAGCTCAACCAGGAAATGGTTAGCTCTGATGACACAGCGAGCGCCAAATGTACCGTAACCGGGCCTCGGAGCAAATTTCACTTTCAACGCTTTCGAAGAGGCCGCTGTCTGTGGTTTAGGAGCGGGAGCGGGAGCTACTTGCGGCTCTTGAGCTTGGAGAGTGAGCCGTTGATCAAGCTCGGAGCCGAGTCGGCTCGTCCGAGAAAAGGAAGAGGAGCTAGGGCCGGCCACGTGCGTTGAAGGAGGCATCGCCGGAGGACGAGCTCCGTCGCTGCCTCGTCCTCGGCCGGCTCTTATTGGCTGAGCTGACGGCTGCGAGCCGCCGCGTGAACCACTAGCTTGACTTTTCATTCTAGCTAGAGAAGTGAGAGGACAAATTGAAGAGAAAGAGCAGAGAAATGGGAGTGAGCTCTCAGCTCTCTGTTTGGTCTTTTATATTAGTTGTTTATCCATCAAATTTTGACACGTTATTTTATATTAAAAAGATTTTATATAAAATCTTCGTAAATGGAATATTACTCTTCCCAGAAGGATTCGGTGAGAAAAATCTGACGATTTAGAATAAACGTACAATGCATGAGATTATGATTATGTTAAATTGCAAAGGTGGCTGGTGGCCAACACAACGTACGTGCCATCAGTGACAATTTTGATATTGAAAGAATGCATAGGGGTATATTTGGAAGATCAATCACCATATAGTCATAGACCACAGTCTCGTGTGTTGGCACGATTGTTTGATGAATGATGACGAAAAAAAAGGGCAGTCATGAACTGCAACTTCCTCTTTGCATACTTTGAAAAAAAAAATTTATTTAAATTACAAATTAAATCCGGAAAGTTACGTTATTTTTTATATGATAATTTATCATAAGCATAATAAACTAGCGAAGACCTTAGTTTAACTAAGTCCTTAATTCATTGTTAACACGAGTAATAAGAAATTAATTGCAATTAATTTTTTTCTTTATACTCAAGTCTTCACAGTTGACGTGTGACTAAAGTTCTGGGGTATTCTTGTAACTAGACTTTTATGGGGGGAAACACAGAGAATAACCGCAAGGATTGAATAGAGCCAAGGTAGAGATTTGATGGGGCCCAGTCACAAAAATCGTGATTTTGTACGTAAGTGTCTGTGGGTTACTTGGCACAAATTGTGTTACTTATGCTCACTTGTAATTTGCATCTTCACTTCTATAAAAATAATTTGATATATTTTTACATATAATATTTAATTATAAACATAAAATATTTACTTATGATAATTATAATATATGATAATATTACTATTTATTAATAATGTCACATTTAATTTTTTCTCCTATATTGACTTAAGAATAAATTATTTTTAAGAAAACAATATAATGTACTATTAAATTAATCATTTGACCTCGATAATACCAATGTTATACGTTGACTTTGTTAATTTTAATAATGCATGACATATTAATTTTAATTTTAATTATATATGTATATAATATAAAAAGAAAAAAAAAAACTGTCCGAACTCGGTAATAACGAATCCCACCGTCCCTGGGATTCGTTATCCCAATCTAGTGGGACCATGGAAAGAGAATGGGATGTGAAACCCATTCTCCTTAAAACGTCGGGATTGGAAAAGAATTGTCCAATCCCGCCTTTAATCTCATGTCCCAAACGCTATCTAATTATTTTATTATTTTTTATTAAAAGAAACAATTAAAATAATTAGTTAATATAAACTATTAACAAAATAATAAAAGTAGGTAAAAAATACGATGTTATAATAGCAATAATAATACTATACATCTCAAATTCATATGTCAAATTTTGTATCTTAAACAAGATATTTATGGATTATTTAATAACACAATTTACATATACCACTAATATGTGACATCTTTTGTAATGCAAAATTTAGAAAATATATAATATTGTTTATATTACAAAATAAGGTCCAATAAATATGTTGATGCGTGATTTTGACACCAACTAATCGCACGTGAAAAATGCTGAGCTGACTCAGAAGACACACTTGTATATGGGATATTGGGTTGAATAAGAGGTGAAGAACAATGTTTAAAGTAGTTCGGATGCTTGAACAAGCGAATCCTACGTCCATTGATATTGTATTAGTATGTGAGATCAGGTCGCGTCTAGCGAGCTGATTTATAGCTTTGAGAGTATAAGTGAATACAAAAGAGAGAGAGAGAGAGAGAGAGAGAGAGAGAGAGAATGCTATTACAGAGTGAAATTAGCTAATCCCACAAACGGGAGAGGAACCCTCTATTTATAGTGGGATGAATTAAGGCAATGATTATTGAATATGTGAGTGGGTCAGATTGTCGTGCAAATCCTTCTTTATGTCCCGTTACTCACTTGCTCAAGTGATTTCCTCAACTTGTGCAGGGATTGGACACGTGGAACGCCTCCAGCCTTTCACCAGTCTGGTGCACACCCACTACACTAGCAAGAGCATGCCGCTCGCATCAGCATGCGACGTGGCTGCGTCTGAATGGTTGCAGAACCTACCTAAGCTTTGACCACCCATGCTGACAAGGCTCGGCGTCAGCCCTACTTTTTTAGGCATAACAGAAGTCCCCTAGTTTTTAAGGTTTGAGGATTGAACCTTGAAAACTACAAAATCATGCCTTGATTTGATGCGCGTCGAATGGACATTGGTCGATCCGACCTGGTTGCAAAGAGGTCGCAGAAACATTTTCATGCAGGCGACCTGAAATGATCTTCCTTGAGGTCCGCGACCTGTTCTAGACCTTTTCCAATGCCGTAACGATGATTCTGGTCTTCGACTGAAGTTCACGACCTGATTATACTTGGAGATTTTTTGTTGAAAACAAAGTCATGTTGCTTCGCAACTGACATGCGACGAAGGAAAAGAGTCACATCGCTTCGCGACTGACACATGACGAAGAATGTTTTATGTAACGACCTCTTCAGATGTTATCTGTTGCACTTTTGTAGTTGATACATTTAATGAAATGTCTTTTGCTCTAACAGACGTGTCTTATGCGCAATAAGTGACAGCCATGCGCATTAAATGCGAGCCATGCTAAAACGACATTCCCTATCAGAGCATTAAATGCAAATGTGGGCGCATTTGATGTGGACGAGGGAAACGTGCCGTCGCTTGAGCGTTTCAACAGAAAAAAATGATGATTTGGTTTCTCGAAGCATGACGGTCACTCTTCTTCGTTGATGGGCGACAAGTGGTCACGATCAATGGTGAGAAGTGATTTTCTCTCAAACATCGTTTGACTTCGAGAAAACCAAATGCCACTTCCTTCACTATAAAACCTCAGACTCACCTCTGGTAATGGCACAATATTCACTTCTTCAGAGAAAGCAAGAAACTTTCATGAGCCTTGATTTTCTGTCTTTCAGACTGGTGCGCGCCTGACACTCAGAGTAGGAGGATCAGTCTTCATACTCAAGAGGTAAAGATGGTTCCTCTGCCATTTTATTTCTTTTTTGTTTTTTATGGTTGCCATGTGGTGACAGTGTTTGCCGATAGTTGATCGGAGATGAAATCTTCTCCTAGGGTCTGAGCCATTGGGGGTGGCTCCTAAGAATTCTGTTAGGGTTTTTTCTAGGGTTTAAGGGAGGAAGCACTCATTTTTTCCTCCACGTCATCGTACTAGATAGTGTACGACGACTGAGTGATTCCCGCATGTCACTTTTTCAGACCGCAGAAGAATAGACCCCTCAACGACTAGGACAGATGAGGGAGCCAGCTCGCTGGTGCAGGATGCCCCAAAGGGTCCCTCTCAGGAGATTCTATCGGTAATTACTGCCGAGGAGATTCAGAAGGTGGTAGACCAATACTCTCAGCGTAGAGGTCTTCCAACATAGGACATACACAGCTCGGAATCCACCAGAAGGAATGGCTGCGATCTTCGAGAATATTTTTAAAAGTGGAGGGTTAATCCTTTTCCATCCCTTCGTTAGGTCGGTCCTTGATCACTTCAGGATCGCACCGCTACAGCTTACGCCGAATGCGTATATGATAGCAGTGGCTCTGTATATCTCATGCGGCGAGAACGGTTTGGGCGCGCTAACCGCACTAAAGCTCAGTTGCTCGTACATCCTGAAGAAAAGTAAGGACAAGGATTCTTTTTACCTCTCGAAGTGACCTACCATCAAAGCGGGAATACATAGTTACCACAACAATGTTGGGGCGTACAAGATGAAGTTTTTCTTCATTCGATATGATCGCATTTGCCAATTTAAGGAGCCTAGTAGGTTCTCCTTTCTTTGAGTTCGCGAATTTCCTTTTAGTCTTCGCTAATGAGTTTTTTGTTTCTTCGTAGTTAAAAAGACGACCAGGTTATCGGCTCTCGAAGATCCTGACAGAATCACAGCTTTCGGCTTTTTGCCCAAAGAAAGTCACGACACGAGACTGCTCGTGACAACCGCAAATTTGCGGAAGTACGGTTTCTTTAATCAAGAAGCGACTTTAGAGAGTAAGCACTATAACCTTAGCTTGTTTTTCAATTTTGCATCCAGTGAACTGTTTTGCTAACGATGTTCGCATGCAGCGACTATGCCTTCGAAAGTGCCCAGATCACCACGACCAAGGCAGTTCGCCTTCCCCAATGCAAACGTCACCGGACCGACTGGAGCGGCTCCCAACGGTCCCCCCGTCGAAGGGACACTAGCGAGTGCTCTGGTTCAACCTGTAGGCACTCCCCAGCCTTCGGCTGCTCGCCCGAAGCAAAAAGACTATGGCCCAAAAGACTAAGAAGCGAAAGCAATTTCGGGCTGAGGAGCCAGAGTCTGAGCCGGAGGGCCTAGACATTCAGCTAGAGAGGTCGTAGCCTTACCAAGCGTTCCGCTCGGGAGGGCCTTCTAAGGGCGCGATCAATACTTGCATTGCCTTGGAGGGTTCACAGACGAGGCAAAGTGAGGCTGCAGGTCCTTGGAGGAGGTCGGGCAAGGAGCCAGAGGAGGGAATGCTACCTACTGCGGGCATGGGCACGCCCGTGCTGGACTTGATGGGGCAACTGTCGGATCATCTACAGTTGGTGGTTTTCACCCTGTTGGAGTGCGGGCTCGCAGAGGTGTTAGAGCAGTTCATGGCCTCCAACCCCATGGACCTGATGTCCACATCCTTCCAGCACTTGAGCCAAGTAAAACGAGCTGTCCTCAATGAGGACTTTACATTTGCTTTTTGCAGTAGAAAGGAAACTAACTCTTTACTCTCTTCGTTACGCAGGCCCTACTTTCTATGCACTTGTCCATACAGAAGGCTTAGTTGGGGGCTACTGAGGGGTTGGTCGAGCTGAGAGATGAGAACACGCGACTTAAGCGGGACTTAGAAGCCGCTCAAGCAAAGAAAGATTCATCCACCATTC